TTTAAATTGAAAGTTATATTTTATTTTCAAAAATAAAAAATTGTGATAATGTAAATTAAGTAACTTGGCTATAAATTGACAGTTATCTTGAACTTTTCGCGGTCTTGATCAATCTTGAGTAAAACATAAGTTAAATCTCAGGGACTATTTTCTTGAACTTTTCACGGCTTAGATCAACTAAAAAATATTGATCATATGAATCATATTCACCCTTATATTTTGTTTCCCGCCCACAAAAGTGTCATTTATAGATAGCCCATAACTCATCTCTGACTGTCCCTAATTCATGCCTCTCACCCTCCCCAATTCATGCCTCTCACCCTCCCCAATTCATGCCTCTCACCCTCCCCAATTCATGCCACTCCTAATTTCTCTCTCTCTCTCTCCCTCTTCCTCTGACTTCCCCTTCTTCCTCTAAATTCTAGTAAGGAAAGCTCCTATTTGATAGGGGTGAAGGTTGCTTCATTTGTTTCCCTAATATTACTGGGAACCCTATATATGCAACACTCAGAGGAAGGTGGAGTCAAGCTCTCCAGTCTCTCCCTCATGGAAGTTACCAGTGGACTATATGGAATTTCTATTTCATAGAGGTCACCAAGTAGACTAGACACGTTCACAATCCTTAAATATATTTAAGATCTTCATGATAATAACTTGGCAAACATCTGCAAGTTAAAAAATAGAACCAATTATTCACAAGCAAACTAAAAGAAAGCATTTGAAACAAAGAAATTGATCATTTGTTTCACTTCTTTGACATATCCTCTATGCTCTAACGAGTGTAACAAAGAGAATTATGGTAATATATAGTCACAAAAGAGGAGTTCTTTATTCTTAAACAACATTCTAAGACAAGTATTTGAACTTCGCCTCTTCAAAATAAATAAAGTTGATTCTTTCATTTGCATTCATCATGAGGCCTTTGGAGAATGAAACAAAAGAAAAAAAGATGATGGATCTTTAATAGAATTCTATGGTACTCAAAGGTAGTTACAATTCAATCCGGTTAAGTTGTATTTAAATGAAACAAAATTACGGTTCTGATCCAAAAACCTTGGGATCGATCCCCATATTTAGAACCCCACTAAGTGCTTATGTCCACCGGCTGTTTGATCCCAATTTTGATGCCCATTGAATCATGAGGCCCACCCATTTAGTAATAATTTGATCGAATTGAATCATTATACCCATTTTAGTAGTAATTTGGTCGAATTGAATAATTATTTTTGGTTTGGTATGAAATTTGGTGCTGTACAGAATATGCCTGAGGGCCGAGATAGGCATCCAGCGCCGTGATAGCGTTCAATGCTGCAGAAGAGTGGGACACATCCTCATCACAGTGAAAGTGAAAAAACGGACCCTTCACCAAGGATCGACAAGAATGACATTACAAAGGTTGGGGGCCAACCTAGATGTGACTCGCCGATTCAACTGGAAAAATAGGACACAAGGCTGGGACAGTGTCGGCCCAACAAAAGATGAGGCCATGTGAGGTAGTTGTTTTGAATATGAATACATTTATTTTCTACAAACTAATGTGAAAGAGTAGCACCGTATATGTTTACCCCCGCCTAATATTTTGATTTACGAGAATCCAACTAAGTGTAAAATCTCACAAAAAAGGGAAATTATAAAAAAAAATGATCAAAAAAGCTTACACTCATTTGCTTTATTTAGAATGTAAAATTTAGAAAATATTTGGAATGCATGTCTTTATTGTGACTGTATTGGGATCCTATATAACATGGTTAGATATCATTTCTTAGCTAATGCCATCCTGGCTGATGTAATAGTATTCAATAAACAATTCATTTTTCAATCTTGTCGGCTATAACTGAAGAGCCTTTTCTGGTAGTTGGTATAGAAATTAGTAAGAGCTAACTTAACTTTACAAGATTAAATTCATTTTTAAGGAAAGTTTATATACTTTATTTGACTGTTTTGCTGATCTTTCCTCTGCTGAAAGAAGTAAAGAAGAAAAACTATGAATGCACAAATGTGAATATTATAAAACTACAACATTTAGAGCTCAGAAAAAGACATAGGAATGGTTTGGTTGCAGGATTTAAAGGTGGATTGTAGAAACATATAAGACTAAAAGCTCTTGAATCCAATATTAAATATTAATGTTGTAAGGTACCAGAACATCCATATAAAATATAGAATGGAAACGGGTTAGAAGCCTCCAGTTCCACTTAGATTCGACGAACAGTAAATCCTTTCTGCATCAAGGAGGATTGAAGATGGATCGAAACCTATAAGTATTAAACGGCCGGGACTTGGAGAAGTCCAACGTCTCTTTTTGGCATTCTCTTCTCCTCCGACGGCTATATCAATTGTTGTTTGGGCAAAATAAATTTTGGCATACTATCAAATTTGACGTATCTCATCTCCTATGCCAAATCCAATATTTTATTGAATTAATATTGTTAGAAATTATTTTGACACATTGGTTGAAGTGCATGGTGAAGATATCAAATGATATATGTCAAATTGCCACATAAACCTTCAAATTTAAATTTGACATACAACATTTGAAATTCTCGTTGACCCTAAATTGTAGAACATTTTTCCAATTAATGTTGTAATGTTACTACACTTGTGGTAAATTCATCCACCGTGCTTTTAACTTAACTCAATTTTGTAAATGGATTGTAACCAATAAGATCGGGTATCTACTCATAGAGCTGAGGATAGATATTAAATTCACCATTTATCCTCATAATGTTGTCCAAAGTTGTCGTAATCTTAATTACAAAAGTCATAAATTCTTTTCTAAACTTGTAATTTTATCCACAATTATGATAAACTGACTCTCAAATGTGGTAAATCTATACTTAGTTGTGTTAAATTATCCACAATTCTAGTAAATTTTACCACAATAGTGGTATATATCGTCATTTATGGTTGTTTGAAAATCAACTTCAATTTTTTATTCTCGAGGATATATTCTACATGGGAATCTTACACAAGATTATTTCAAGAGTCCATGGGCTGGAATAACTGTCATTGCAGCGGTTATTCTTCTTATATTCACCCTTATACAAACAGAGTGTTCTATAATTTCCGTGCTACGACAATTGTGAGAATATATGTCATCGAAGCAATTTTTCTTCTTTTACTCACCCTTATACAAATAGAGTGTTTTATAATTTTCGTGTTATGAGAATTGTGAGATGTGTTTTATCCTTCTTTTCAATTATTGGCAATGACCCTAAGGTCTTGTTGAGAAATAAACTTGATTGTCCTTATTTCTTTGTTTTGCGAGTTGGTTTTCACATTCACGTAATGTTTGCTAGTGGTGTTTTAATTTAATTTCAAAGTAATGGATGAGTGATGACTTAATATGTGTTGTTGGTTGCTACAACAAGTACAATTGGGAACATGGAGTGTTATACATTTGGAGTATATATCCATACTATGGTAATTTGTGTCTGGGGACATGATACAATATGAATGGTTTTAAAAGGGATATTAGTAGTCGTTGGATGAGTCTATTTGACACTGTCAAATTATCTTATTGAAGTCTACTCTGTTTCATATTATAGAAGCTATACGTACACCTACATATGTAGTCTAGACAATTTGGTAAATGAATAAAAGAGATCTAGTTTTTCCCCTTTTATCTTCTCGCCTTTTCTTTTAATTATTTAACTTATTATTATAAGCTATTGTTTCTTACAAAAAAGTAGCAGAGCTAGGCATGGTACCAAAGAGGTATATGGCTAATGAGATATCAGATTTTGGCGTAAGTTCTCTGGCTCATTACCCCTCCTAATATTTTGACTTACGAGAATCCAACTAAATATAAAATCTCACGAAAAAAAAAAGCTTTGATAAAAAAATTTACAAAAAAAATGAACAGGAAAGCATACACTCACCCTTTAAAAAAAAAAAGATGTTGATGAGACTCTAAATTGATCTAATCATTGGGATCCTGTATAACATGATTAGATAATATTTCTCAACCGTTGTCATCCTGCCTGATTTCATAGTAGGAGGAGTATTCAATAAACAATTCCTTATTCAATCTTGCCGGCTATAATGTGAAGAAGAGCCTTTATTCTACTTTGTGGAAGTTGGTATAAAAATTCGTACCAGAATCTTTATTTTATTAAATTAAATTTATTTTAAAAAGGATAAATTATACTTTGATCCTCTCAAGTATAATCATTTTTTTATATTATCCTCTCAATTATTATAGTTTTTATCTTGTACCCTCAACTATATAATTAGTTTCAAATTACCCTAATTATTAATGTTCGTTACATATTTAATAAATTTTTCTTTTTGTCCCCTCAACTATGTACTGACACGTTGGTAATTTCTATTCAAAAATAATAACAAACATTTACGATTAGAGCAATGTTAAATAAATCAAATAATTGAGGAAACAATGTAAAATGATTGTTAAACATCACCAAAAAAAAAAAAAAAGACGACCTTTTTGCAATATAGGTAAAATTCCATATATATATTATCTTTTTCGGACCCTGCAGTTGTTGATGCTCCATGTACTTGACCAGCCGTTGGTAAGATGAACTGCAAACCGTTGGACGGCCTTGATTCTACCCACAAACAACCAGTCAATATTATGCTTGTCAAGGAACTGTTATTATATTTAAGTTTGGCTCTTTGTACATCTGTAACTATTGAAATGGGTAGAGTGGAAGTGGACGTACCAGAAAAGAAAAGGGAAAGACTTCCATAATGCCATGAGGATTGTGCTGAAAATTATTATTTTTTGAAGTATAAATTATAATTTATAAATAATATAATTAATTTTAAAATATTATAAACGATCATAAAAATTATAATTTATAAACGATCATAAAAATTATAATTTTGTAAAATTAAGTTACAACTTATAACATAAAAATTACAACCACTCAAATAAATCTGATCATGAGTTGTAATTAGGGAGTTGACCACCTTCAAGTCTTTAGACATGCTGAGTTGCTTTATAACTAGTGTGTGTGAGAGAGCGAGAGAGAGGATTAGTCCATCCAATCTACCTTATAGTAGCTGGTTCTTCTCTACAAGGAAGGAAAAACTAGGAGTGCTGCTTCCCATCATCCCTTCCCTGTCCTTCTCTCAAGAAAATTAACTCAGGTCTCTCTCTCTCTCTCTCTCACAAATCTTTCTTTATTTATCTGAATTCCATCTTGCCTGATTGTACCCTTCTCATTTTTAAGGAAAGTTTATATACCTTATTTGACTGTTTTGCTAATATTTCCTCTGCTGAAAGAAGTCAAAAAGAAAAACTATGAATGCAGTAATGTGAATCTTACATAACTAAGACATTTAGAGATCAGAAAAAAAGACATAAGGTTATAAAAAAACAGGAAATTACTATTACTATTACCAGACAACCAATATTTACTTGAACCACACTTGATTTCGATGTAAACTCGGGATCCATGCTATTACTCGCAAACTGATACGTCTACTAATCAAAGTTTGACACTTACAATTTTGATTTATTGCACAAAAAACACTAGAATCAGATATAAATTATAGGAATTATTAAGTGAAAAACTCATTAGGATGTTCTGTTCAGTTGGTAATTACCCCTTTAATGTTCTGTTCTGGCGTCTTTAGTGAAAGCAAACATGTTTGGATCATAAATTTGATCTTTTCTTTTCTTTTCTTCTGTTTTCATTGTTCTCATTTGCTGGAGTTTTACAGATGTTATTAGGTACAAGAACATCCGTATAAATTATAGATTGGAAATAAGTTAGAAGCCTTAAGTTCCCTTAGATTCGATGAGCATTAGATCCTTTCTGCATCATGGCCAATTGAAGATGGGTCGTAAACCTTGTTACGTATTAAACTGGAATCAGAAGTGGAGAAGTCACAGCACCAAGTTAAAATCTGCAAGAAGGCATTACCAGAAAGAATTGCAGTTTTTAGGCACCTACATTTTTCATGTTCTGCTTTTTCATTTTCTGTTAAAGCCCAAAAAAATTATAAGATAGTACCACAAGAAGAAAAAAAAAAAAGCAATTTTGGTCTTACATTACGAATCGAAACTTTCTCCTTAGTCTGCTATCATTTAGCAAGAAAATGTACTTAAAAATTATGACTTTGACTGTGGTGCCTGGTATGCCATCTCTTTTTTAACTAGGCAGAGGAGCTGAGAGGGATGACAGGTTTCCCAAGAGCAAATGAATCAGCTCATATTTCAATTGAGATGGAAAATGTTGGTGCAGAACATACGGATATGGTGGCAGCTTCAATAGAAGGAATGCTAGACAGCTTACCTCTCCTGTCATCTGAGTGTTGTATCTACAGAGTTCCTGAGAAACTCCGCAAATTTAATGGCGGAGAAGCCTACACTCCTCGTGCAGTATCAATCGGCCCTCTTCACCGAAGGCATAAGAACTTGCAAGCTATGACAGAGCATAAACTAAGGTACCTACAAAGTTTTCTATCCCAGATAAGATTGAGCTTAGGGGAGTATATTAAACATGTGAGGACTTGGGAAGGAAGAGCCCGTGGCTGTTATGCAGAAACCATTGATCTAAGCAGTGACGAGTTTGTGAAAATGTTAGTAATGGATGGAAGTTTCATTGTTGAGCTACTCTTGAGGTCCCATTTTGGTGATATTAATGATCAAATGGATCGCATATTTGGTAACCCATGGATGATTGATGATGTGGGGCGCGACATGATATTACTTGAAAATCAACTTCCATTCTTTGTTCTCAAGGGTATGCTTGACCTGGTCATGGACAATAACGGTGAGGAAATACCTTCCATCCTTAAGCTCACTTACAAACACTTCAAGAGTTTTTTGACTCTAAACAAATATCCTGATAACATCTCCACAAATGAGGTAAAGCATTTTCCGGATTTTTTGAGACACTGTCATTTGCCTTCATCACCAAACGGGTGGCAGAAGTGTGATCCAGCGATTGAATTCTCTCCGAGTGCAACAAGACTTCATGAAGCTGGCATCAAATTTGAAGTGAAGAAAAACAGCAGCTGTTTATTTGATGTCGAGTTCACTAATGGAGTTCTTCAAATCCCATATTTGGAAATAGATGACTTGACAGAAACTTTGTTCCGAAACCTAATCGCCTACGAGCAATGTCACTGCAAAGAAAAGTACATAATCCACTACATGGCCCTCATCGATAGCATGATCAACACTCACAAGGATGTGGACTTACTAATCCACCATAGAATTATCACAAGCCGGCTGGGAAGCAATGAAGATGTGATGATGCTGTTCAACAATATCTGTAAAGAGGTGGTTTTTGGTCACAAAGTCTATTTCCTCACTCTTTGTAAGAACCTGAACGCATATTGCAGGACTCCTTGGCACAGGTGGAAGGCAAATTTGAAAAGAGACTATTTCCATTCTCCCTGGGCAGTTGTCTCTGTTGTTGCTGCTGTTATACTTCTCATGCTCACTTTCATACAGTCTGTGTGCTCTATTATATCTGTATGATTTCTCACCTCAAAGCCTTATGTAGATTCATTCTTGGTCTTTGGTCTTTGAAATTAATAGATAGTGATAATGAGTGTTTTGTCAGTGTATTTATCTTTTGATTTATTGTGTTATATATTGTTCTTCCACCAGTTATACATAAAAGGTGGCCGCAGCGCGCGGGGGGGGGGGGGGGGGGGGGGGAACGTAAGTTGGGCGGATCAACCTAAATTTAACCCCCAGCCTAATATTTGGACCAACATTTCCATACTCAATGTTGGACTTGGGCAAAAAAATTTTAACTTAATTGAAATTCAGACAATATTCGGGTTTGAAACATATGTTTTGTGGACTCAAACCGAATTAGAAAATTCGAGTTCAATCTAAGTTGATGTGAAATGAACCCGAGTTCTAACCCAAGACATAAATTTAGATTCAAACTAGGGTGAACACAAATATATTCTCGTTCGACTTATTTACATAACTCGAGAATCAAATTGGGATTGAACCCAATTATAACCCAAATTACAACCTGATTTGTATAACCCATGGTCAGCTGAGTTCAAAAAGTTAAACATGGGCAATACTCAAGTTAAAAGTTTCGAACTAAATTTAAGTTCGGGTTGAACTTGAGTCGAAGGTTTTGTACTTTAGGTTGAACCCAGTTTCACTTCTCCACCTACCCGAGTTGTCCCCTTAATATATGATTTTTTTACTCCATATATATGCATGTATATGGGCATATGTATAGACGTAGACCAGGACAACTGCTTAATCAACGTGACCGATCAATTATTTATTGGATAGGTGTGAACTGTCAAAGGTTTATGGTCCCCAGCCTGGGGTAGACCAAGACTTTTTGTCATGAATCTTAGTCTTTTTTTCTTGAATTTAATATTTTTAATTGATTTTGTTGAGTACCAACTCCCGCAGAATTTACCCTAAGCAACATAATTGGAGTTGGTTGAATATATTTCCCAAAATAACGTGTTCTAATCATGATAATAAACATACCTACCATGTGACTCCGTCACATAGTATTATACATGAATACTTTTGAAATGTCACTATCTACATAGTTATCAAAATGCAAGAATGCCATGTCGATTATATCTGTTTGTGAGTTTAACAGTCGGATTTGTCCTTGTCAGAAATATTTTCCAGAGGGCTTGAATTTTGAATGTTGAAGATTGATTGCCACGTTAATATTTATCTAATTGTAGTAGGTGGGGAGTTAAAAGAGGTTGATACACTTGTTTATTCTAAGAATAATCAAAAAAGATGAGTACGATAAGGAGACGGGATGAAAGGAACTCGAAACCTATTAATGAAGAGACTAATCAATTGAGCAAAGGATAGGTGGATAGAGTAAATAGTCTCACTAGCCGGGTGGAAATATCCCTCATGTAATGGGCAAGTAATGCATGTATTTATAACACAATGTCCAAGTTTGGGTAGCACGTCGCAACCATCTAACAACTGCCTTGACTGCGACTATACAGCCTTTACCGTGGGGATACATGACCAGTCGTGATCATTAACCCACAATTGCCTTGATTGCAATTATACCAGTTGTCGCTAACTACAAGTCATGTATCTCAACATTAACTAGGCAGATGTGACTTTTTCCAAACGCAGCCTGGATGCGGTCCTCGAGAAGGAGTATGATAGTCAAGGCGAAGGGGGCTTCCAAAGTTAATGATCATGACTGGTCATCGCGGAACCTTGACCTTGAGAAGGCCATGTAGGCAATGCCCTCAACACGCACCTACCTAGGATCCTCTTTTCCCTCTCTAAACCACTTCATCAAAACTTTTGTCAAGGTGTCCAATAGAGAAATCTCATATAGTTTCGGTCCTTCAGCCACCAATTCACCTGTCTCACTATCCTATATGTTGATCTGGATTTATAACCCCAATTACCTTAGAAGTCCCACCGAATCCTGTTCAATCACATCCCAGGGGGCAATGAGTCATACACTGGGAGGCCTATTCAAGTAGACTAAACCTTCAAGACTTTGCCCTAAGTTGAGATTTACAATCATGCTCATCCACATCCGTTGCTCAGTTCTCCCTTGAGGAGGGTCATATTTCCCTATCCCTAGGTGGGGACCCCTTCTTTTAATCTAGTGGGTCAGTAGAGCAACAGTATCTAGTAGGATGAGGTTTGTCCTTAGTGAATGGTTCATTTTTCCACTTTCAATGTGATGAGGTTGTGTCGCGCCCTTCTGCGACACCGAGTGTCTATCATGGTTGATGCAGAACGTATAGTGGAGTACTACATGACATATCAAGACTGTTGAAAACAACATTGATCAAGTATTAACTAATATAGTAAAACCAAATGGAAAATAATGGACCAATTCTCGGAAATCATCTCACCATAATCAAGCTTATTGATTCTAATTTATAATTTATCCAAACTCATAATCAAATTCACTCGAACGAAAAATATTCAACTAAAATTGGATTTAAACAATATTTTGCTTTGAAGAAAGGTAATGATAGCTAGAATGATAAATACATAGATGTATATATGAACTTCAATCATTACTCATACTGGAAAAACTGTTGATGAGAAATCAAGATGAACACATAACAACTAGTTTTCAAAATAAAAATTTTCCATCTACAAATAATACTACATGGTTAGAAGATGTTATAGAATCAGCAATGCTTGCTCACAAATGAGAATCCTCCCTTGGAATGCATCGAAACTTAGCCGAACACAAAACTCATCAAACCAAAATCAGCAACAAACAATATACACATAAAAGGTAAATGAATAACAAGAAGGAAATGAATAACTTCAATAGATTTTCTTTGAAATCCAAAGTTCAAATACAAGAACAAACCATACAACACAAGTTTTGAAAATGAAATGGAAATTGCATTCGCTATCTTCTTCGAAGCTCAGCAAAACTCTCACAATGTAAAACCAAAACTCAAAACTAAGAAAAAAACTAAGCAAATGCTCTTCCCCAATGTGTAGATGAGTATATATATAGTAGCATCTTTCCTTCTTTCTCCTTATTGGCCAGGGTGCATGGTGTGGGTGGTTGGTGCTTTACCAAAAAAGTTTCCTCTGCCGGTGTCGTCCAATGACAATGCTCACATGATACTTTGAAAGTGCCATTAACCAATCAAAACCAAGGCCATAGGGATTGGCAGCCTCCCCTTGAGTGTGGAGGTGTATAAAGTGAACCCATGGAATCTGAATGTAAGCTCGAGACATGTGCGCTTTATATGTATGTGTGAAGAACCGATGCATAGGTTTTTGTTAAGGGTTGTTCTAGTACAAACATTGCATGAACGAGTACAAGACCCTCTGGAGCTCGATGAACCAGTACAAGTTGTACCTGTACATTACACTCTTCTCCTGATTTTTGCTTTGCTTCTCCTGAATCGCTTCCTTCTCTTTGCTATGCCTTCCCATGACATTTATATTGAATCTCCATCATTCCATCTCCTCTCCTTTACACCTACAAACACCAATTCACACAATTAATCAGAACTTCCACATAGTTTGGAGAAATAAACAACACACACATGCTCAAAGCAAAAGGAATAAATCATAAAATATGCAATACTAAGTGCCCAATAGAGACCAACCTTAACGGGTATCACGACTTCCATCCCATAGGCCAAGACGTTCAATAGTTCCTCGGTCCACCTATAAGAAGTTCAATAATTCCTCTGTCCCTCGTGGACTTCTTATAATAACGGCTAGACTTTGTGCCCGAGGATACAATAGAGGTATGGTCCCAAGAAGGACTTTCGGTAGTGCTTCTAGTTGGGAGAGACCCAAAATTTCGAGGCTTAGAGCTAAATATTCCAAGACTCCTTGTGGCATTTGAGGAGTTCCCCCAACATGACTATTATGATCCTGAGGAATCTGGGAAACTTGTATTTTCTTGAACTATGTCATCATTGCGCACACCTTCTGCTGTAAGCCTTTATCCTAGGGTTACGGACCTCGAATTCCCCATTAACTTGGTTCACCACCAGTTGGAAATCCCATAACATGTACAATTGATCACCCCCCCCCCCGATTGTCCTGGCCATGCCTAGCCTTGAAATAAGGGCTTTGTACTTTGCCTTATTGTTCTACACCCCAAAATCGAGCCTAATTGCTTGCTCAATAGTGGATCCCTATGGGCTAGTTAAAACCACCTCCACTCTTGCCACCAGAGCGTTGGATGACTCACCAACATGCAATCTCCAAGCTCCACGGGGAATTTCTGGGTCGGTCTGTGATTCCTCCAAGGGGATGTTTTCAAGAATGGTGAACTCAACAATAAAGTTGGCCAACTTTCCCCTTGATGCACACCCGAGGTTGATACTAGATGTCTAATTCACCAAGTTCGATTGCCCACTTAGCTACCGTCCCCGACAAGTTTGTCTTCCAGAGTACAACGTTCAATAGTACGTTGGTCAGGACAACAATGGGGTGTGCTTGGAAGTAATGCGTGAGTTTTCTAACTATTCTTACCAAGGCCAAGATTACCTTCTCCAATGAGAGGTATCTGGTCTCAAGGTCCATGAGGGTTTTGCTGACATAGTACACCAGCCTTTTGCTCCAATTCATACCCTCTAATCAACGCTCACCTGATCGCATACCTGAGACAAATAGATATAAGTATAGAGTCTCTCCAGGCTCAAGCATTGAGAGCATTGGCAAAAATTTCATGTACTCATTTATCCCTTGTAGCGCCTGATCACATTTGTCATCCCATATGTCCCTTTTGGCTTTTCTCGGGGCCTAAGAGAAGGGCTTACGCTTTTCTGATGATTTAGTGATGAAACGGTTAAGGGCGGTCAACATCTTGGTAAGCTTACATATATCTTTGATTGTTCAAGGTCTCTATACTTTCAGGATGGCTTGTATCTAGTCAGGATTAGCTTCAGTGCTTTAGCGGGTCACCAAATACCCAAGAAACTTGCCCAAGCTAATGTTGAAAGAGCACTTAAATGCATTCAACTTCAACCCATAGCTCTGGAGATTTTGGAAGGTCTCGTCTAAGTCCGTTAGGTGGTTCCCTCGAGATTAGCTCTTCAGAAACATGTCATCACTATAGTCCTCCATAGTGACCCATGTTTTTTCGTTTGATCATCTTATTCATCAAGCACTGATAGATAGCTCCTGCATTTTTCAGACTGAATGACGTGACTTTTATAGCAATAAACCCCAAGAGTTATGGATGAAGTTTCCTCCTAGTTAGGAGCATACAAAGATATTTGATGATATCCCACCCCAAGTGTCCATGACAGTCATTTTTTCATGTCTTGCAGTTGTATTTACCTATTGATCCACCTTGGATAGGGGTAATCATCATTTGGGTAAGCTTTGTTGAGATTAGTGAAATCCATGCAGACATGACACTTCCCATTTTTTTTCTTGGCGCATGTGGTGTTGTACAACCACTTAGGGAATTGGACTTTTCTGATTGAGTCAACTTCTAAAGTCGATCCACTTCTTCATTTATTGCAGGTGTGTGATATGGAGCCAATCGATGCTTTTGTTTGATAGGTTTGTAGGTCTAATCCACATGAATCTGGTGGCAAATAACTTTGGGTTCTATGCTTTCTAATTAAGAGCCCAAGCAAAGATGTCGGTGTTACACCAAAGGAAGTCCAGCATCTCCTCTTGCTCGACTGCCATCAGTGACGATCTAATGGGTAAGAACCTCTCTTTATCATTCAGATGGAGGCAGACCATGGCCAACTCCTCTAAGATCGTTCAACTGGCTTTACCCGGGTTACTCAAACCAATCTTGATAGTAGCGTAGAAACAACTCTTTGAAGCGTTTGGTCACCAAATATGACCCTGATCCCCCGAGAGGCGAAAAACTTCACCTTCTAGTGATAGACGAATTCGCTACTTTAAGGGCATGCAACCAGGTACTTCTCATGATGGCATTATAAGGAGAATCTGAACTGATCACCAAAAACACTAAAGCGCGCCTCTAGCATCCTACAACCCACCGCCCACGCCACCTGCATGCACGGATGGTTCTTTGTACCGTCCTAGCATGCACCCTAATGCATACTAGTATTTTCTTAGCCCTAAAGTACAAGCATATGATAAGAGTCTAATAATAAATGCGTTCCTTTTCTTCTTCTCAATTTTCAACAATGAATTTTCTTTAAGGCTTTTCATAAAAATTATCATTACTTCATTTAAAACCCACTAAAATACATATTAAATATAACTATTATTTTTTAAAAAATTCAACATATTATGTGCAAACTAATATGAAAGATTAGTTCCTACTTATTACCCCTAATTTTTTTGATTTATGAAAGTCCAACTAAGTATAAAATCTTATCTAAAAAAAAATAAATTTAATTACTCGTTATAAAAATAGAACACGGAAGTCTAAACTAATCTCCATCTGTTTCGAGATTCGAGTGCAGAAAAGAGATGTTGAAATTCGAACCATGATGGAATTTATTAGTCCATCTTAATTGAAATGTAAAATTTGAGAAATATTTTAGAATGCATGTCATTACTATAATTTTTTTGTGGGGTCCTATACAACATGGTTAGATAGTGCCGTTTCGCTGATGTCATTGTGACTGACGTCATAGTATTAAAAGGTATGGTGGAAAACACAATTCCTTATTCAATCTTGGCAACTATAGACTAGGATGACTCCACTATTATGGTGGTTAATAGTGGTTGGTGTAGGAGGACTTACAAAGACCAACTTTATTTTAACTGATCAAATTCGTATTTTATCATTAGCTTTTTATTTTTTTATGTTTTTTTTGGTTCAATGATAAAAGTGTTTGAGTTAATTTATATTTATTTTAACTATTTTTTTTTATCTAATTAAAGACGAGTCATCGAAACCAAAATTATAAAATTCATGAAAACTAAATCTCTCGTGACCTAACCACAAAACAGGCTCAAGATTCTAACTTATATCATTAGCCTTGATGAGATAGGTCGAGGGTCTTACCACAATCATAAAATTATTTTATTTTAACCTTATTCTCAAGAGTTTAAGTTGCAAAAAAAAAAAAAGATTGTCTTTCTTCATGCACAGTAAAATTGTAGATAATGTAGTGATGCAGTTGATACAATGACCTTCTTGTATATCTCTCATCTGCTTACCACTTCTCTTTCTTTCTTCTCCATAGTTCTACTGTTGGGCCATGATTCTCCCCACAACCAGTCAATATATACCTAAGTTTCACTCTTCGAAATGTGGACCTACCAAATAAAGAAAAAATGGGCCAAATTAAAATTATGGAGTTGACCGACTTCAAGTCTTCAGACCTGATATCCGGCTTTATAACTGGTGTGTGTGTGTCTGTAAGAGAGACAGGACTAGTCCATCCAATCTACCGTATGGTGGCTGCTTCTCCTCTGCAAGGAGCCATCATCCCTTGCCTTTTCATCTCTCCAGAAAATTAAGTCAGGTTTCTCTCTCTCTCTCTTGTTCACAAATCTTTCTTTATTTATCTGAATTCCATCTTGCCTTATTTTCCTATTTTTGTTTTTAAGGAAAGTTTATATACTAAATTAACTGTTTTGCTGATCTTTCCTCTGCTGAAAGAAGTCAAGAAGAAAAACTATGAATGCCCCAATATGAAATAACTAGATTAAGCTATTTACAGCTCATAAAAGGACATAAAGGTATTAAAAGGACAAGAAAAATATTTTTTTTCTTTACAATCAATACTTACTTGAAAACGTATATACTTGATTTCAATGTAAACTTGGGATACATGCTATTACTCGTTCGTTCGTGTACTAATCGAGGCTTGGACTTACAATCTTGAGTTATTACACAAATTACACTAACATCTGTTATAAATTATGGTTAAATTACACTAATAGTTCTTGAGGTCTATCACTTGTTATACTTTAATTTTTAAAGTTATAATTCTGTCAATTTGATCTTCTAAATTCACAGATTAAGACAACACGTCCTTCCTTCGCACTAACTTCCATCCAAAAAACAAACGGAAAAGATGTGTGCACCGTACATAAAAATAATTGAAGGATATTTATGTCATTTAAAAACTAATAAATATAATAAATTGAATATACGTGCAATATATATTTTTATACATAATTGTACGACCTCAAAAGACATCTCACACATTTAAACCCCCCCACCCCCAAAAAGAATGAAGACCTCTCGAAGACTCTCTCTCAATCTCAATCTACAATTCTCTCTCCCTCTCTCTAACTAGGGCCGCCCAATAGGTAAGCCAACTAAGCAGCTTTAAAAAAAAAGATGCCCCCAATTATTTTGTAGTCTTCACCTATTTATCATTTATTATTAATTACGATTACGATTACAATTATTAATTATAATAAATAATATAATTGTATACTAATTTTAATTTTTTAAGAAAAAATTAATTTTTTGCTTTTAATTTTATTTCAATAAATGATACAATAGAACATGATATTGGTTGTAAAATTTAAAATATTTGATATTTTATTTTTGATTGAAGTATTTTTTATCTAAATATAATATTTTAATCTTAAAGGTTCTAAGTATTATATACTTACAAACTTCAAGGCGTTTTAAGTGTAATTTATTAACATATATATTTACAGTGAGGATCTAAGTGTTACGTGCATATAAATCTCAAGGGATCTGTGTGTAATATTTTAAATGTCAGAGAGTCTGAGTGATTAAGTGACAAACATCCAAAAATTTTAGTATAATTCTTCCTAAATTTTTAAAACGCTCCATTTATAATTTTGGCTTAGGACCTCAACTTTTGTCAGGCGGCCTTGTCTGTAAGCCCTTGCATTATTCCACCACCACTTGCAACATCTGCCTCCCCATCACCACTGAAATCAACCGGACCCCCTCCCACCGAACTCTGTTTTTTTTTTAGTACGATGGAAAATTAAAAAATTGGGTTAGAAGTCTTTTTTCCGTTTACTTTTTGCCTTTTCCAGTTTATTGTTTGGACGGAAGTTAGTATAAAGGACAAGTTGTCTCAATTTGTGAACTTAGAGGGTCAAATTAATAGAATTATAGTTTTGAGGACTAAAGTACAATAAGTGATAAGCCGGAGGGATTATTAGTGCAATTTATCCAAATTATAAGAATTATGAAGTCAACCATTCATCAAATATTGCAACTTAGTATTAATCAAATGGTTAGAATGAAACTACATTATTAGGTCGGACAAATTTAATTTGGTTATATTTTAGGTTCAAATAGAATTACTAGTAAAATATAGATTGCAAATGGGTTTGAAGCCTTTGAGTTCCACTTAGATTAGAGGAGGGGGAGCACTATTAGATCCTTTCTGCATCAAGGAGGATTGAATATAGGTCGAATCCTTAAGTAGTAAACTGAACTCGTATATGAGAATTGTAGAAGTCACAGTCACAGCCCCAAGTTAAATCTACAAGAAAGAATTACAGTTTTTACTTTAGGCACCCACATTTATTATTGAGGAAGGGTTGAGTTTAACTGTTTGGAAAAGCTGAATGGTATTGGTAGGTATGTTCTGGTTTTGCATTTTCTGTTTGAGGAAGGGCCGAGTTTAACTGTCATCTCTTTTTTAACTAGGAAGAGGAGCTGTGAGCCTGTGAGGGATGGCAAGTTTCCCAAAAGCAAATGAATCAGCTCATATTTCGATTGAGATGGAAATAAAAGAAATGCTAAAGAACCTACCTCCCCAGTCAAAAGAGTGTTGTATCTACAGAACTCCTGAAAAACTCCGCAAAGTAAATGGAAATGGAGAAACCTACACACCTCGTGCAGTATCAATCGGCCCTTTTCACCGAGGGCAACAGCACTTGCAAGCTATGGAAGAGCATAAATTAAGGTACCTACAGAGTTTCCTACCCCGGACAGGATCGGACTTGGGGCCGTATGTTGAACGCGTCAGGACATGGGAGAGAGATGCCCGTAATTGTTATGCAGAAACCATTGATCTAAGCAGTGATGCGTTTGTGAAAATGTTAGTTATGGATGGAAGTTTCATTGTAGAGCTACTCTTGAGGTCTTCCCACATTCGTGAGGGAAAAAATCAAAGTGATCATAGTGATCGCATATTTTCTAGCCCGTGGCTGATTGATGATCTGGGGCGCGACATGATATTGCTTGAAAATCAGCTTCCATTCATTGTTCTAGAGCGTATGCTTCGCCTAGTTGATCGTAACCTCAACGAAAACCCTTCCATGCTTAAGCTCACTTATGAACACTTCAAGAGTTTTTTGACTCTACATAAATATCCTGACAATATACGCCCAGCTGATGTAAAGCATTTTCTCGATTTCTTGAGACACTGTCATTTGCCTTCACCACCGAAAAAGTGGCGAAAGGGAGGTCCAGCGATTGAATTCTCTCCGAGTGCAACAAGACTTAATGAAGCTGGCATCAAGTTTAAGGTAAGGGAAAGCAGTTGTTTACTTGACGTCAACTTCAAAAGTGGAGTTCTTGAAATCCCCAATCTGGAAATAGATGACTTGACAGAAACTTTGTTCCGAAACCTCATCGCCTACGAGCAATGTCACTGCAATGAAAAGTACATAATCCACTACATGGCCCTCCTCGATAGCATGATCAACACTCCCAAGGATGTGGAGTTACTAATCGACCAAAGGATCATCACGAGCCGGCTGGGAAGCAATGAAGATGTGATGATACTGTTCAACAATATCTGTAAAGAGGTGGTTTTTGGTCACGACGTCTATTTCAGCAGTCTTTGCCAGATTCTGAACGCATATTGCAGGACTCCTTGGCACAGGTGGAAGGCAAATTTGAAAAGAGATTATTTCCATACTCCCTGGGCAGCTGTTTCTGTTGTTGCTGCTGTTATACTTCTCATGCTTACTTTCATACAGACTGTGTGCTCTATTAAATCACTAATTAAATCACCATGATTTCCTACCTCAAAGCTTTATGTAGATTCATTCATGGTCTTTGAAATGAATAGTTTGTGATAATGAGTATTTCAGTCCGTGTAATTTTTTTTTTTTTTGGGTCATTAGTCAGTGTATTTAACTTTTGATTTGTTCCGTTATATATTGTTCTTCCACCAGTTCTACATAATATGGGTGCAAGTTGGGCAGATCAACCTAAATTTAACCCCAACCTAGCTTGAAAACCTTTAGTATTTGGACCGACATTTTCCATACTCAAGATTGGACTTGGGCAAAAAAATCTCAAGTTGATTTAATTAAGACAGTAGTCTGGTTAGGAACTTACGTTCTATAGACTCAAACCGAATTAGAGAATTGGAGTTCAATCTAAGGTGATGTGAAATGAACCCAAGTTCTAGACTTAGATTTAGATTCAACGTAAGGTGAACACAAATGTATTCTAGTTTAAAATTTTAAAACTCGAGAACCTAACTGGAATTGAACCCAAATTACAATCTTTAATTTGTATAACCCATGGTTAGCTGAGTTCAACAAGTTAAACATGGGAAAAACTCAAATTAAAAGGTTCAGATTAAATTTAAGTACGGATTGAACTTGAGTGGAAGTTTTTATACTTTGGATTGATAGTAGCAATGAGAGAAATCAACTTTGGTACAGTTTGATTAGGGTAAAAAACCAATAACTCCCCTAATAATTTCATTAACTATCAGGCCACCCCGAAATCCATCCATCTATATATATATATATATATATATATATCACAAATAATTACTTAGGGAGAACTTTGATAGGTCTTCCCTCCTATTTTTTTATTTCTTAGATTTTTAGATTATTAATTAAAAATTCTCCAATCACAATTTATCATATATTCTTTTTAACTACCCATCTATTCTCCATTAACTAACTACCTTTAACTACCATTAATTTCCAAAAGATGCACGAAAAGTCTATTAATTATCAATTCATGTAGTAAAACATCATAAAGTTATATTGGGATGAGGGTTGCAAATGAATCAAACTGTTCGGTAACACTAGAGATGGACAAAGATAAAATCTTATTCGAGATCGTTTATTTATCTAATCAACCAAGTCCGAATTTAATTTTAAAGATTGACTAATAATTAGATGAAGTCTAAACAACAACTTATTTAGGCTTGGTGATTGTGTAAACTAATAAATAATATTAAAATAACGTTTATATTTGTATAAACGGTCTAAACTTGATCTTGAACATAAGTGTGAAGTTGAGTTTAAGTTCGAATGCAAACTTGATACTGATTTGATGATGTTTGAACTTGAAATGTGAAAGGGATACTAAAGCTGAAGAGCTTAACACTTGTGAATAGTGTGCAAGTGTTTCGGTGGAAAAGAAGATGATTCGAGATGGAGCCTAATAGCTCTACCCAATACTACAGTAAAATTAGTGATTATAGTACGAGTTAAGAAGAGTAAGAACACATAGATTATAGTGGTTCACTAATTGAAAAGTTTGATTAATCTACTCTAATGAGACTCTTACTCCTTTGAAAAAGTGTATATGGCTTGGAGAAGAAATTGTTGGATTTGTTAGATATCTTTACAGAGAGAAGGCCCTCTATTTATACCCACAGGTGGGGTGGTCCCTATGTCATCCTCACATCGTCCTCAAGTTTGTTAAGATTTTATTAAAGGTATATTGGACCTTTAAAGAATACATTTCCTAGGTGTAACGTGATCTTTTAGAACATGCTGAGGTGGCCTTGTGACCTATATTCAAACTTTGATGCATTGTATAGTCTTCCATATTCTAGAAGAGCCTGCTATAACGTTGTTCTACTTGAACAACCTTCCATTCTTTTACCTAGCTCACGAGTAAATGTACCTGTTAGTATATATGATTTAAAATTAAATTTATTATGATTTATTCATATTAATAATTTCAGCCCCATGATTATGATTTTTTTGATTTTTGAAATTCTTTAGGGGGAGTTATATGTAATAACTATATATATATTATATATATATATTATATATATATATATATATATATATATATATATATATATATATATAGATTGTATATTCTAACCTTAACTAACCACTATATACATTGGAGTCACTTATATGAGGACTAGCCATTGAAAGCATATATCCCTTATATTCATATAGCTTTAAGAATAATGCTATCCATTAATGTTAAATATACTTGTTCTACTCATATCTTTTTGATATAGAGAAACAACTGACTATTATATATATATATATATATATATATCTATATATTATATATATATAGATATAATAATATATATATATATATATATATATATTTTTCTTCATTCTTTACTAGTTTTGGTGTGTTTTATAAACAACTTGGGTGAGATCAGTTCGTTATAGAGAAATTCACATGTACATCGTAACTTCTATTGGATTGTTGTATCTTGAGAAAAAAAATGTTTGAAAAACTCTGTGTAGAGGAGACATATCTCTTCTTAGGACAGCGTTCATCTCGCACCTCAATTCAGACTATTCTAAACATATTTTTGATTTAAGTTCCATTGAATTTATTTGATATATTTGCATCTATATGAATCTTTGATTTTATTTATTTATTTATTGTAACTGTACCTAAGGTCGTTCTTGATCAACCTGAGCTCCTTTAACCTAGATGTGTGCAAATAACTGTCTTTTCATTTAAGGATGGGCGTACAACCATAAGGTCGCGAATAGTCCTTATATGCTGCTATTCTCATAACCTGTTACCTAAATTACTTTTAAGTTATTTTTGTATCCCATTTTTGGGTATTATCATGATTCATTTACACAGACGAGCCAAGCTTGAGGTTCAACAAGACGGAAAGAGTCAAGCTTAAACAAGGTGTCTAAAAATCATCCGAATTCCAAGTCGATCCCAAACATGATACAATTGAACAAACAGAGTCCAAAAAGTCTGATGTCTGGACTCAATTCAATTGAGTTGCATCCTATTCCCAACGGGACATGAAAAAAAAAAGGCAAAAGGTAAAATAAGGAAAGAGTCTGGGCCGGCCTAAAAGCTTTGAAGTCATTGGAAATAAGGTGTTTGAATAATTCAAAGTCAATGGCTAAAGCAAGACCTGAACCAGAAAAAACCACTTTAAAGGGCTTCTTAGCTTTCGTAAATACCACCATAACTCTGGCTGCCGTTATGCATCTTCCATCAGATTACTGCAACTGAAGGTCTTTGGTGGCTTTGCTGATTTCTCATCTTCAAAGATTTTGTAGGTACAACTCTCTCTCTCTCTCTCTCTCTCTCTCTCTCTCTCTCTCTCTATTGAAAATCTCTGCAATGGGAAAACAGGAATGCATCTAGCTGGAAAAGTAGTGCTGCATGTATTTCAAATTTCTTTGAACTCTAAAGTAGATGAGGAGAAAGCAAAAACATCAATAGGACCCTAAATATTTGCCTTGATGCTCTGATTTATCATTCGTTTGCCAATGATTGTCCAATAGTTTAAATAATAAACAATAGGGAACACCACTGTCTCAAATGATTACTTTTCGAGATAGTATCAAAAGTTATTATAAAATAAGGGTTAGGTTATGACTCAATCTAATTTAATTACAACAAAATAAGGTCATTTATGATCGACCTTACAATGTTAAGAGCGATCACAATCATTTGAGGATAGTTCCCAACTTTTGTTAGTAGCAACATACCTTTTTGGGATTGTAACTTGACCAAATTGAGTCACAACCTTGCCTGATTGTG